CACACACACACACACACACACACACACACACACACACACACACACACGGGCAGGGATTCTGCTCCAGCCTTCGCTTCCCTGTAGTTTCTTTTCTGAGGCTTCCAGATCCCTGTAGGCGTATCCTCTCAGGTAAAGATGCCCGCCGCGCTCAGCAGGATGGAAACGCAGAGGTCGGGGAGGAGAAAACCCATGGAAAAAAAAAAGGGGGGGGCGTGCTGCCCTTCGACAGTTCACTTGGGAAAAGCGGCAGGCGTATTGTTACCTGGAGAAGGGAAGGAGGCAGGCTGGCAGCCCCGCCTATCGTCTGCGCCCTCCCCCCCCCTTCTCTCCTCCCCTAGGCCGCCGGGTCCCCTTCTACTGGGAAGCTGCAGTGACATGGGAAGAGCCGGCCTCGGCGGTGGGAGGTAGTGAGACGCTAAGCTCTACGATCCGGGCAAGGGAAGGGGAAGGAAGAGAGAGGCCAATCAGCCGTCTGGCTGCGGAGGGGGTAGAACCGTACTGGAGAGGCGAGCGTTGGCGAGGTAAGGACTGCCGACGGAGAGCCGGGGACAGTGCTGGCGGGGGGAGGGGTGGGGGGAATCCAGGCTGGGAATGGAACGACCCAGGGAATTCACACCCCACCGCCTCCCAGGAGGGGCCAAACTCAGGTCAGGTCAGCGCAGTGCAGTGCGGCTCGGGGCGGGAATAGGGGCTGGTTTGCGGCCAAGACAGAAGGGAAACAGAGCCCTGGAATATGGTGGCGGGGTCCCGGCCGTCTTTCCGTCTCCGCCCGAGTGGGCAATAGCGGGGGGAAGAGTCTTTGGCCCTCACTTGACCTGCCCCCACCCCACCAGCTCTGCGACTTCGACTTTTACCACCGCGGTTCCTGCTGTTCCCGAGTCAGGGATTAGGAGTTGGAGCTCGGAGCTCCGCCGAGGGCTGTTAATCCCTGTGGCTGCGAGGAAGCCGCGAGGCAGCTGCGAGGCATCTAGCTTTTCTTTACACTTCACCTCCCTCCCAAAGCAGTGATAGCAACGCGGCGGGGGAAAAGCCACAGTGCATCTGCAGATTGGAATCTAGTCCCATCTCCTCCACCTTCTCTTTTCTGGAAGGAAAGAACAAGCGCGAATTCTTCCTGAGTCCGAACACCATTTCTTTCTGCTGCCAGACCGGGTTTAGGTTGGTTGTGTTGTATTTGGCTTTATACCCTGGGGCTTTTTTGTTCTCTTCCATACCCTAGCCACCCCCTCACCCCCCCGTTCTCCCTTGCATCCCCGGCCAGTCCGAAAGACTTGGGTTGGAGGGGTTACTTGGGTTGGAGATGGGAGCTATTCCGAGCGCACAGTGCAACTTTCTGCGCGGAAATCGTCAGTTACACTTGACTCTCTTCTCCCTGGAGCTGCATGCTCCACGCTCCCAGCGCCGCAGAGCCCCGACGACTTCCATCCTTGGAAGTGGGTGCGGGAGGGGGGGCGGGGAGCGGGAACTCTGTCTTTGGGATATTGATGAGGCGGCGCACGCTTTTCTGGATTGATTAGGCAGCGCGGAGTGAGGATTTGGAGTAGCAGCTTACGTTGGCAGAAGTTTGGGTGAGGAGAAGGATGGGGGTAGGGAAGAGGGTGTGTGTGTACGCGCACTAAATCGCCACCCACTCCTACCCACCCAGCGGTGCTGGAGGAGAACAAGCTCTTTATTGATTCCTTCTCCTGATTCTTCGGTGGCGAGCTTTCCGCGGGTATTGGTCCCCAGGCTTTCTTATTCACCCCACTCCCAGCCCCAGCCGACTCCCTTAGTGAGGGATGCTGGAAGTGCTGCCTGTTCCTCCCGGAGGAGCGAGCCTTTCTCTCTTCTCCCGGAGTAATCCAAAGGGAGGCGGGGGTGGGGTGGGGGGTGAAGGAGCGAGGGGCGGGGTAGAGGCGGCGGTTAGCGCTCTGCGGGATCGGCGCAGCCTGGGAGCTGCAAAGCCGCGAGTGTGCATTGTTAGAGAACGTGGTGAGGGAGCCTTCACCTTCCCCTCTACCAAAGAGAAAAAGAGACAAACACCGAGACCTCCCCCCCATAACCCCACGACACCTCACGTGGAGCTCGCTCCAGAGGTGGGGAGGGGGCGCTTAGCAGGCTCCCTCCCCCACCTCCCCGCCTTCCCCGCTGGCAGGAGAGTTCCTTGGTGCCCCCTCCCCCTTGGGGATGGAAACTAACCTGTAGGCCTGGCCCAGTTAGACTGGGAGGTGAGGTGGAAATGACGAATCCAGTCCCCTTCCCCACGCCACTCCACCCTCCCCCCAGCCCAAGGCCGCCAATTCCCCTACGGGCACGGTGGGAGGTTGCGCTGGGGAGGAGCCCCCGCCCAGCGAGCTGCTGCCCCCAGACCTCCCCCCCCGAGCGCGCCGGGACCCGGGAGACCTAGAGCTCGGGGAGGCCCGCGCCCCTAGTAACGGAGAGAGAGCTGGATGGACAAGACTGGAGGCCATGAGAGAAGGAAGTCCTTTCCCGGGTGAAGCTCCCGGTTTTGATTCGGATTTAGCTACTGCTGGTACTCCCACTTTTGCCTCGGGGTTAAGGGCGTGGGGAGGGGTGAATTCCTGGTTTTGCGCTTTCAAAGGTTTTGCAAAACCCTTTTTAGGGGTTTTGAAAAAAAAAGCACTTTGCAAACATCGGAGCGCGACAGAAATAGTGCACCCCCATCTTTGAAACGTCTGCCTAGGGCGATAATCCCAGGAAGCCTGGGCTGCCTGCTGACCCTTGGCTTGATCGCCACCCCAAATTGGCCCTGCGCCTTCCTCTGTGAGCTAGTGAGTGTGAGTGTGTCTATCTCTTTAGAGCAAGGACTCCCCCACCCTCTGTCACCCCTCCCACGTGAGACCTTAACGCCTAGGAGAAGCGATCCGGCTCCGCCAAGATAACAAACCCTCCGAGGGAAAGAGAGAGGGAGAAAGTTGACATCATAGGGCGAGCAGCCGCCATCGCTGGGGTCCTCCCAGTCCCCAAGCTCTTGGTCGCAGCTGGCACTTCCTCGGAAGCAGGCTCTGTCCAGTTTGGGTCACCAACTTATTCTAAGCATCTCATTCTTCCCTCTTCCCTCTTCCCCGGATTCCGAGCGCCCAACTCTTTTTCCAGGTTATCTATCGCCCAACAAGTTATGTATGGGTCCGGGCTTGTGCCCACCCACCAGTTGTGTGGGGTTTTTATCTGAATGAGTTGCCGGTATTTGTCGCTGCTGCCGCTGGGATTGGTCACAGAGATGTTTCATTGATTCCTTTGTGTCGCTTGTATTGAGCTCCAGACTTCGGAAAGCTGCTCTGCCGGGATGGTGAGTGAGCCAGGAGGGCAGGTAGCTAAAAGCACCACTCCGAGTGCAGGAGTTGGTATGCGCTTGAGTCCGAAGTGTGGAAAGATTGGCTGCTTGAGGGAGACAGGTAGCTGGTAAATATGGGATCACCTAGGAAGCTACTGTCTTTACAGAGTGGCTTCCAAGAAATACTCTTGGTTGCCCCCTTGTTCTAGATTTCCTCTCCTGCAAGCATCTGTTTTGTTCAGCGAGTACCTCTCTAGTGTACTTCCTTTTGGGAAGTTTTTTTTTTTTGACAGTCAGTTTTGGAATATTTAAATAGAGTTTTCTTTCCTTTCCCTACCTAGGAAATGCTTAAGAGTTTCACTCCGCATGCTTTTTGAGATCTCTATAGAGTTGAAACAGAGAAATTGAAACTGTAACATTCAAAATATAGACGTCTCTCTTTTCTCTTGTCTTGCTTTCCCAGCATTAGGCATCTGTAAAATGTTTATGTTGTACATACAGGCTTAATACGTTGACGAGAAACACACATTGCCTTTTGTTGAGTTCTTTGATTACTGAGCAGTTCAGGTTTTTTGTAAATACACCAAGAAGAGTTGGGTATTGCAACTGTTGCAGTTGTAGTGAATGACATTCCCTGCCTAAAAAGTTAGGGGTGGGTGGGTTCTTTTTCAATATAAATTGGAATGGAATGGGAGCAGAAATTCTACTTTTATTGTTCCCCAGTTCTTTCTCCCTTATCTATAAAAATCAAGAGCTGTGTTTTTATGCACGTGAGTTTAATGGAGCTTTCTTTTCTTACCTCTTCAGCTTAGATTTTGTTCTTTTTCATTTATCTTCCAAACGGTGTGAACTGACCCTTTTTGCCACCCTCTGAATCTGTCATTTAATGAGTTGATGGTACAGGGTTTTTCTTACGGGTTTTCTTTGGCATTACTCTTTATCCACCATCTTTATTGTCAGAGGATATATGATAGGATAAGCCTACTGACCCAGCAGAAACATAACTGACCCCTCTTGGTTTAAAAAAGCCTTTGAGGCAAACTGAGCATCATTAACACTTTATTGTATCAGGGCAGCTAGGTGTCTCAGTGGATAGAACACTGGCTCTGGAGTCAGGAGTACTTGAGTTCAAATCTGGCCTCAGACACTTGACACTTATTAGCTGTGTGACCCTCGGCAAGTCACTTAACCCCAATTGCCTCAACAAAAAAAAAGTGTATTATGCCTAATCTCTGTCCTAGCCTGTACATTCCCTTGGAAATATCAGAACTTCACGAAGCATTATTAGTCCAAAGGATAGTATTGGCTCAATAAGTAGGTGAGAGTGTTTTTTCTTTGAAAGGTAAAGATTAATGTTCCCTGAAAACCCTTCTGGCAGTATTTATTCTGAGGCCCTTTGGTTTTTCCAATCTAACCAGAATCTAAATAAAAAAATTTTTTAGTAGTCCCTAAGTGAAATTTGGCACAGCTGAGAGCTTGAACTCTACTTTAAGGGCAACTATTGTAGAGAAGAGTGCTGGGCTTGGAGTCAGGATAGCTGGATTTGAATCCCTGTTCAGACACTTATTAGCTGTGGGCAAGTCAGAACTTCTCAGAGCCTCAGTTTCTTTATCTATAAAATGGGGATAATGATACTTACATTACCTACTTCACAGGGTTGTTGTGAGGAACGTGATGCACAGACTTTTCCATATAGAAATGAGTGATTATTGTTATCACACCAAGAGGGGCCACTCCTAGAAACTGCCTCTGTTTGTATGATAGATAAATATTCAGGGTGTTAGAAGAAAAATGATCATCTTGCCTTAGAAGACAATCAGTGGTAGGCTGAAACTTCACCTTGTTCTATGAGTTGTTCTCTAAACATAATGGGCAACCTTGTCCAGAGTCTTCTTTGCTGTAAGACCCTAACCTGAGGGTAGGGACTGTGGCCCCAAAGCTACCTGTGGCCTTCTGGGTCCTCAGGTGTGGCCTTTTGACTAAGTCCAAGTTTTACAAAACAAATCCTTTTATTAAGGAGATTTGTTCTGTGAAGTTTGGATTCAGTCAAAGGGCCACACCGGAGGACATAGAGGACCACAGGTGGTCTTGAGGCTGCAGGTACCCCACCCCTGCCCTAAATCATAGAGGTGATATTATATATACAAGTTTCTCAGTGTGGCTTGAAGAGATGCCTCATGTTTTCCAAACCAGATAGCTGCTAGTGTATTCCTTTTTCATAGTGAGCACAGAAAAATAAGTGATATACACTATCTGTATAGAATCTGTTTTTATCGATTGAAGTAAAGATATATACCTCATCTATAGAGAGTCAGATCTAATAATGAATACTTTGAAGTATTCAAAAATATATAATCTTTGGAAAATGTGCTTAGGTGGATGCTTTCAAGGTGAATTAGAGAAGTGTTTGCATATATTTAGATTAAGAGAGGTACCTGAGTAAATCAGATGTTCTTTTGACTTTAGATCTTGTTAAGCCTTCTGAAGCCGGTTCTCAGAGTGTCAGGGCACCTGATTGCAGAGTGCTTTGCTTAGTCTCTCCTGTACAGTCAAAATCCAGTTCTCCTAAGGTCATTCAAGGACCCTCCAGCAAATTAGTACTGCCATCAAGTAGCCTTCACATTTTAGCTAATCATTACTGGTGAACTAGATTCATGAGAAGGTGCTGGGATTCATGTGTGTGGCCCAGGGAAAAAAAGCATATATGCAAGGTACAAAGTTGTAAAAGGTTATTTCCTTTTTGCTTTTGGGAGAAAAGTTATGCTTTGTGGGACCAAGGAGTGATGCCAGCCACCTGACACCTTTTATCCATCCTTTCTGGTCCTTGGGAGTAGGGATTATTTCTTTCTTTGTGCCAGTGCCTGGCGCATAGGTTATAAACTTAATAAATACCTACTGAACAATTGGTTGGCCATGGGTATTAGAAGTTGCATATTTCTCTGTCTGTTCTTTATTGTCCTTTTCCAGACCTCCTTCATTGCAGGTGTGTGTGTGTGTGTGTGTGTGTGTGTGTGTGTGTGTGTATTTTAATGTCACCATTGTGCATGTGGCCAAAAGTAAATTAGCTTTTGATTTGAGGGTGTCAAAAATTTCATTATGTTTATTCTTAAGGGCAATAAATTCTACAAATGGATACATGTGGAATATATCAAATAGATGGGATAACTACAATGAATGGGATGTTTTTTATGCAAAATAGTTTTAAATATATTGCAAGGATGATCTGCCAAAATTGCCTGTGCCTTCTTGAAAAAAGAAGAGTTCAAATATATATAAACTGTAATTGACAATGAGTCATTTGCTTTAGGGATGCCAATCATGAAAATAACATAGCTATCATCTTAAATGATAATTCAAAACACTTTATTAAAGAGGCAGATACATCTTAAGTGACCTATAAGTATGCTTGGAATAAATATTAACAGTTTTGTCCATGTAAAGAAATTAGGTTTGAATATTTTCAAGATTCACAATATTGTAATCCTTAGGGGTAGAGGCAGAAGGTTGGACTACAAGTTGTCTAAGAAAAATTTATATTCAAGTGGTCTTCTAAAAAGAAGTCACTCATGTTTGTGATATTTAGAAAATCTAATATGTAGTCATGAGCAATGAAGAAATAAACAAATCTAACATCTTCTGATAAATTTATGTACATCTACCTGACATACCTCTACATTACATACATGCATACATCTAGTTGCCAGTGGGGCAATCCTGTTTTATATTTGTAAACATAATGAAGTAACTTGGAGTAGAAGATAGGGAGCAAATCTCAGGAGTCAGGAAGAACTGAACTACAATTATTCCTCTGACCTACAATAGCTATGTGACTCTGGGCAGGTCACTTAAGCTCTTAAAGACCTGAAGTTGCAGAGTATCTAATCTGCCCTTGCAGAGCGAACTTTCTCATTTGTAATTCTCTTCAATGAAATCAAAGATCTGGATTAAAAAAAAATCCTTCAAATCATAAAGTACATTTTAAAAGCAAATGAAATTCTTGCAAAAAGTAAGAGAAATGACACATAGGATACAATGTAAAGACAACATTGTATAAATATTTCTTGCTGTTTGATTAAATGATGTGATTTATCAATCTGAAAATCTAAATTTAGCTTACGCTACCTATGCTTAAGCAAATCATATCTGACAAGATAGAGTTTGGTAACTGATGCTTTAGAAGTACAACTTTCTCTTATTTGTCTATTTCTAACATTCATTTTTTAAAATTTTGAGTACCAAAACCTCTCCCTTCCACCCACCCCTCTCCTACCCATTGAGAAGACAAGCAATATGATATCAATTACACATGTGAAGTCACCAAAAACATTTTCATATTAGCCAGAAGCATAACTCTTTAGTAACAATTCACATTTACATTGTGCTTTAATGTTTGCAAAGCCCTTTCCTCACTGGGGAAAAATCAAGTGTGACTAATCTCATTTTATAGATAAGGAACTAAGACCAAGAGAGGTAAAGTGACTTGTCTAAAGTAAGTTAGGGAGCTGGGTGGGGTTTGCCCTCAGGTCACCTGACTCTAAATCCAGGGCTTTTTCCACCATAACAGATTGTTTTTCTTTATGTCACATTACAGGGAAGAAAATTTAAAAAAGATTACATTTAGTCCTTGGACATGATTTATTTTGAAGGAAAAATAACATACTGAAATAGTAATATTGAATCCCCCTAACTACACTTGACTCAATATTTTTCCACCTGTACAAAGTTTCTTCTTTCCTTGAATCTTTCATTTGCCAGCATATTTACTTGGCTGGGAAAATACTGGTTTTTTTATTCCATTTTTTTTCACACCAAAGTTACTAATATTGAAAATGGAAGGCAAAAATTTTAAAAAGACAATGCCAAATGGAAGTAAAGATTAACATGAAAAGTTAGAAAAATGTTTGCTATGCATTAAATGTGCAGTACACTATTTGTGATGTGAGTGACTGTGCCCTGATTTCATGTAAACTCCTTGAAGGCAAAGAAATTGAGAGAATTTCCTAACTAGAAAGGACCTTAGAGATTGCCTAGTCCACTGCTAATTGTATCCCTGATTGTATCACACCATTAGCCCCAAACCTTTTGCCATTTCATTATTTCTGAGGTCCTCCGCAGTCTGACTTCCTACCCTCTCCATCCATCTTGGGTCCTTAAGCTATTTTCTAAATCCATCATGTCATTTCCTGCCTCCATGCTTTCTCAGGAGCCATTACCAGTGCCTAGAAACATACACTCTCCTCATCTCTGCCTTGTGGAATCTTTCTTTTTTGTTGGAATTGTCTTAAATGACACCTTCTCTTACAAAGCCTTTCCTGATTCCCTTTAACTGAAAATAAATATTCTCCCACTACTTTGTCTGGATGTGTGCTTTCTTGTCCCAGCAGTCATACTCCCCCAGCCCTCCTCCCCCTGCTAGTAGACCTTGAGCTCCTTGAGATCAGGGTCCTGATTACTTAGAAAATCTTTGGATGATTGTTCCTTAAAAAATGATAGCTGCTTAATAAAAACTTTTTTTAAAAAAAATGGATGAATATCTAGTACATCTTTGAGTATTTAAATATTGACTATCAAGTAGAAGGGAGAGGGCCAGGGAGGAGGGGGGTCAACATCCTGGTGAATCCCTAAAGTTTATAGTAGAATCAAGGAACCTCAGAATGGGCAGGGACCTTAACCTTAGACCTAGAAAGTTCTAACTTCTTCATTTTAAAGAGGAGAAAACTGAGGTAGCTCAAAGTCACTGAGGGCTACTTAGTAAAAGAGCCAGGACTAAATTTGGATCTCTTAACTGTCATAGACCTAGATGGGTAAAGGGAAAGGTGGGCTATGTGGACTTGGAATAAGTAAAATAAGACTGACCCTTTGAAGCCAAGCTGGGCTGTTATTTTATAGCTTCCCAACCCAGCATGTAGTCTTTTGCATACCAGTTAAAGGTGCCATGTTCCCCAAGGATCATTAAGGGGGTACTATCTATACATATTGAAAAGCACATGTTTTCTGCAGGTCCAAGGCCTACATACCTTCCCCAAAATTCTGGAGCAGATGGGTGAGCATAAGTAATTTAGAAGTCATATGGTGAGTAATAGGGCCCTCCACACAGTGGGCAATCAATTTGTTGATTGATTAAGAGCAGGAGTAATGGATGAGTAAATGGAATTCATTGCAACATCTTTGGCTGCATTCGGAGGGAACTAGATTCAGTTCACATCTAGGGAATTATTATTCCTAGTTTACATATCTCTTTTTGCAATTTAGACATGTTGATCATCAGGGATTTTGATGTCAATTAAAGACAAACAGTTTAGGGAGAGCGCATGTTTTCTTGTAATTGTGTGTGTGTGGGGGGGGCTGTTAAAACCTTTTCTTGCACTGACTACAATACTTTTTTTAATTGCTGCAGGTTTGGAAGATGACTCGAACACTTGTGCTTTTCTCATGGATAGTTGATTAGAGTTTGGAGGAGTATGACGGGAGTGGCAGTTCCATTGTTGGATGTTTCAGGCCACTGCTTGAGAGCCAAGAAATTACCTCTCTTCAAGGCTACAGTACGATGCATGTTATGAATTGTGTCTCCTTGGCCAGTGAAAAAGAAAATGGAGATCTCTCTGCTGCAGCTGGATTAATGATTGGGCAAACACCACCCCCACCACCGCCTCCACCACCCCCACCACCGCCCCCTCCGCCATTGCCATGTCCAGAGAGTGGGTGTCTTCCTGTTCCTCCCCCACCGCCCCTGCCAGGGGTTCCTCCTGTACCACCTCCCCCTCCAGGACTACCTCCTTCTTCTTATGTGAATGGACATGGCCCCCTTAGTAAGAAAAAGAAAATGAGGAGTTTTTTTTGGAAAACAATTCCAGAAGAGCAAGTTCGAGGCAAGACTAACATCTGGACAATTGCTGCGAGACAGCCACAGAAGTACCAAATTGATACAAAGACCATCGAAGAGCTCTTTGGGCAGCAGGAAGAGACCAAATCACCGATTTCGAGGAGAGCTTCAAATGCTTCCTTCAAAGACACTAAAGAAGAGGTAAGAATGGAGCCTGGAGGAATAAACCTCCACTACTATCCCCACTCCCCCCCCCCCCGCCCCAGCCATGGGCGTGCAAGCACGAGCTCTTCCAGTGTTTGCCACCATTCTCTATTTCCACTAAGGAAAACCTAACATTTGGCTAGGTGATTCCTCTTCCTGGTGGATCCACTGGTGATTTTGGCCTTAGTCATTGATAAGAAAGTTCATTTTGTAGGTTATATTGCTTTTGCTTTTGCCCTACTACTCTAGCATCATCACGCAATAGAAAGAGCATTGCTTTAGGAGTTGGGAGTCCTGGGTCCTGGGTGTTGTCATCTGTGGGATCTGTGGGATCTTGGTCTCAATCTGTAAAATGAGGGGGTTTGTTTAGACAACTTCTAGATTCCCTTCTAGAGCAGACATTCTGTGTTCCAATGGCTTATGACCAGCCTGTGGTTTAGTAAATGATTTCCTTTCTTGAAGCAGTGCTTTTCTTTTTTTTTTTTTAGTCAATGGGGTTAAGTGACTTGCCCAGGGTCACACAGGTAGTAAGTGTCTGAGACCGGATTTGAACTCAGATCCTCCTGACTTCAGGGCCAGTGCTCTATCTACTGTACCACCTAGCTGACCTGGAACAATGCTTTTCAACTGAAAACCATATTATAGAGCTTAAATCCAGTAAGTTCCTGAACTACTTCTAGCATTGTATGGAAATCAAAGATGCTTAGTTCTAGCCTTTCAGAATTGGTTGGCCCAATTGCTCTCAGATGCCATCTCCTTTGTTAAGCCTTCTCTGGTTTTGTCAGGTGTGCCCTAAACCTCCTCAGAGCAGTAAAACACTTGGCTTACACCTTTCTCCTGTTACCTGTCACGTATTATGACTTTTTGTGCATATGTCATATTCTTCTCCTGTATCATGAATTTCACAAGGACAGGGACTGTATCTTATTTCAGTTTTCTGTTCCTCTGGTGGCTGACTCAGTGCTCCTAGGGAGCAGTGACCTCAGTGTTTGTAGAAGTAAATGTTGGAGCAATCCTCCTGCAGCCTTTTCCATTCACTCCAACATGCTTTAGGATTTTGCTGTGATTTCCCCCTACCCTTCTTCTCTTGCTATCTTTAAGGCAATTTAAGTAAGGCTTTGGGAAGCTATTTGAATACAGAGTCTAAAGGAAGTGCATTTTGCATGTCACAAAGAGTGAATTGCCCAAGGGTGGTAAACATGGTAAAGGATAAGAATTTTAAGGAAGTGAGAAACTACAGCAGCCTGTAGATGTCTGTTGCAGATGCAGAATTAGGAACTGCAGGTGTAAGTACACAGTTAGTCATAAAAAAGAATGAAGGATTCTACTTATTAAATGGAATGGTGGGGTAATTTAGAATATTGCATCTTCATTAAGGATAAAAATGGATGATATCAAATCACTTCACCTTTTATCTGTTGGAAACAAGGAAAATGGGTCAGATTTGGGGCTGGCAAGATAATGTTTGGGTACAATCTGGAGAATGCAGCAGGAGTGTTGTACTATGCATCATTGAATTTTTGGGCTAACAGGGTTGACCTTTTTTTCCTTTCTGGCTTAGAAATTCATTAACTTAGAATAGCCAAGCCCATACTAGGCCAGTAATTCACTTTGGAACTCTTGTGTGATTCTGCTGTCTGACCAAGGTTTAAAAAAGAGGCTTTATTACTAACTTAATATTGAACATCAGTGCGACTCGTTACACTTGCTCTGTAATGATTGACATTTAAATTTCAAAGCATCAAATATCGTAACTTTTTAGGCTCTCCCTTGAGGACTCTATCAGGACTCTTTGTCCATTCATTCTTATTTATTTTTCTCTTTTCTTGTGATAGTGTGTACTCTCTTCTTCTGGTCCTGCTTTTCCTCTTTTGCATTATTTCAGCAAGGTCTTTGCAGGTTTCACTATAGGCCTCATACTTGTCAGTCTGAATTACATAATAGCATTCCATTGCATTAATGTACCACAAGTTATTTGACTTTTCCTTTAATTTTTTTGGACATTTAAGTTGCTTCCATTACAGATAAATCTCCTGTAAAAGCCTTTGAACAGATAGTTCTTGTTTAATTTTTCAATAACACTTTCTTGGTTTATTCCCAGTAATGGAACTGTTGGGTCAAATGATTATTTTTATAGCTTTTTCTGTGGTCAAGGATTTTTTCTTAAATTAGAAACTAGAAACTGTACCAGAAGTGTGACTGTTAAGTAGGTCATGATTGTTTGTAAGAAACACCTACATAGCAAAACCTAGAGACTTTGGTTTGGGTTAATACAGGTTAACAGACTAAATTTGGCATTAGGAAATTTCTAGAAGAAATCTTGGTGACCTAAAGCCCTTACCTTTTTTCATTTCTTTCTTTTTGAGAGCAGGAACTGTTCTTTGCCTTTTTTTGTACCCTAGCTAAGACATAATGTCTGGCATTTAGTAGTACTTAATAAATGTTGATTGACTGATTTATTGACTTTAATTTTCTAAGAACTATCAAATTATTTTATCTTCAGTTCCCTCACCTATCCTTCATCAGGGAAACAAAAATACTTTAGCTACAGGACCTCCACACCTGTAGATCCCCTCATCATTTGACATATTCCTTAGCTCCACTTAGCCAGGAGAATAAGATAACTTAAAATATTGGATCTGTGCCATGTTAAAATTAGGGTACACATCCCAGGGAAGCACATGATTGGCAGAAAGTGCTGAAGAAGACACAGGGGCTACTACTATCTCCGATGGTTTTGCAAAGAATGTGCTTCATTGTTTCTGAAGGGTGACTGGCAGTTGAGTCAGATTGGGTGGTGGCCATTGTGGATGGGAGAAGACTTGCCAACATTGCTCCCACAAGGACCTGATTGATTCTAGCCTATGGTGACTCAGGAAAAAGCAAGTCAAGCATTTAAGCAAATAAAATCTAAGCTTTCAACCGGTCACCCTTAAATTCACTCTTAGTATCAAAGCTGTAGGAACCCCGGCTTCCATCAAAGATTAGATCCACAAATGATCTTCTGATGGTCTGTGGATTAGTTTCTTTTATAGTTGATGCTTATGACAGTACCTGTGTTTTTTGTTCCTGGTGTGAATTACAATTTGCTTGGGATATGTCCAGCTCCAAAATGATGATCATATTGGTGGCTGCATTGGCATCTTAAGAACGGCAGTTTTTGGGGGGTGAGAATCATTAGAGGCAGCAAACAGGTGAGGAAGCCCATAGACCCTTTTGTTCCTGTGTGTTCTAAGGGTAGAAAAGTTTGAGAACCACAATATTAGAAGGAAGGAAAGGGGAGTTGTCATGGATGGAATAGTGGCATAAATACCTGGTACCCCAGCATTGGCCAATGCAGAAGCATCCATTTGCAAGACACAGGTTGAGGGAGAATTTAATCTCATGTAATTTCTTACTTTTTGACAATTGCTTGTCATAATTGGAGTGAAAGAAGAAACTGTGTAGGGTGGTGGATAAAATGCCTCTTGGAGTCAGGGAGACCATTGTCCAGATCTCACCTCTGACACATAATAGCTTTGGAAGCTTGAGCAAATCACTCTTGTGTTGTCCATAGCCACGACAAAGCAATCTCAGGTCAGAACCTCTCTCACCCCAAGGTTTTGAGTGAAAGCAGAGCTTGGAAAAGGAAAATGGTACTCTGATTGTGTAGTCAAAGAACACATAAGAAGTAACTTATCAGTTGGCCTACATTTAACTACATTATTTAGCCAGATACAAATGTTCCATTTATAGTAACGGTTTGAGGAAGTGACAGGTAGGGGCTGCTGCCAAATTATAGATCCATTCTGAAATATAGTTTCCCCACAAATATTGCCAGTGACACCTACATCAATGTTTTATGTATTTTGTTAGACCTAGAACCTTAGAGATCCTCAGAGCCAACACCCCTCCTTCTACAGATGAGGAAACTGTGACCCAGAGAGGCAAAGTGACTTGCCCAAAGTCACACCGCTAGTGAGTGGCAAGGCCCAGGATTTGAATCTCCTTTCTCTAGCTCTAAATACCATGCTTGGAAATTTTGGTGAAGTACTTCCTATGTTACCCTTAGTGAGAGATGTTACATCATCACAGCCTTGGTAGTTGTAACCTAGCAAGGATAGGAAACTAGCTGACCAGCTAAACGAAGTCGCTATCAGCAGTAAATCTTCCTTCTCACATGCTAGGTTATCAAGTGCAGTCCAGGGTTGAAAAGCAATAGCTCTTAACCACCTGTGCTTGTGATCTGGAGAAGTGCCAAGGTATATGCTAAGAAAAGTGATAGATTCTGAAACTGGAAACACAATTTTGACACGTTGTAACACAGCTCATTATTACTCAGATTTGGATAGATCATCCCTCTTGAAACATAATTACTACCTATGGAAAATATGTGGTATTAGGTGGTTAGCTTGCACTTTTAAAAGGTTATAAAGTATAACAAATAGGTTCAACTATACTTCGAAGAGAGAAAGGGAGATTTTTCAGTCTATAAACATTTGATTTGAAGAAGTTTGATTGCATATTGAAAGGATAGTATATCTGAAATTTTAAATTAGAAAATGTTTGGGTAGGAAAAAAAAATTGAGTATTATGTTATGTTACTCTGTTGTATGTTTGAAAATTCACCAGAAAAAACCATAGATGGCCAGATGTGATGGTACACACTGATGATCCTGCCTGCTAGGGAGGCTTAGCTGAGGGATCACGTGCACTTAGGAAGTGCAGTAGGGCTCAAGCTGATCAGGGGTCTGCACTGTCAGGGATCAATATGGTGAGCCTGAGGAGTGTGGGGCCAAATGGTAGTTTGTGGAGAGGTGAACTAGTCCCGGTTCGAAACGGAGCAGGTCAGAGTTTCCATGCAGAAAAAGGAGTGGGTTCAGCCCAATGAATGGCCAGGTATGAGTGAGATGGGGAGATTCATCCTCCAAGAATAAGGCAGGAGGGAGAGACAGAGACAGAGAGACTGATCAAAAGGGAAGGAAAGAAAAGACCACAGTTGTAAAGAGTGGTAACAA